TTAATGTTTGTCATGTTTGCAGGCTAAGCGAAGCAGCTCGACATCGAACGGCTTGGGATAATGAACTAGTTACATCATGATGAATTTAACTTTCTTTTCTTTTTTAAGAGGAGGGTTGGGGGGGAGTCATCGGTGGAGTTGATTTCATGTTTGGGTCATTAGCTTCAGGGTACATTTTCATAAATAACGCCGGATGCGTGCACACAAACAGACACGGTGCCTCTGCTCATTATCTCCACCAGAGTTGTCCCCATTTCCATTCTGGCAGTAGGGAGGAAGAGGAGGTCTGTGGTGTCCCTCCTGGAAAAGCGCAGCACTACGGAGGGCCGATCGTGACCCACATTCGTTCATTTTCTCATTGTTTCAGAGGTAAAGCTTAGACACGTGGGTGCACCGCAGGTGGACGGGGACATTTCCTGCTCCTCGGTATGGGTTAGAGTTAGGATTAGAGTTAGGGCTGTTTGCACGTTTTCTCAGCTGGACCCGTGGAATCACAGCTGCAGAAGATAGAGGATTTTAACATTGTTTCCTTTGGAGCTGGGAAGTTTAAGAGGATTAATGTAATGAAGGTAAGGGAGGGGAAACCAATGCTTTATAAAAGGGAAAAGAGAGCGCGAGGAAAGGGAAGTAACTAAATAAGTAAGCATCTGTGGGCTCACTGCAGAGGGGTGGTCTCTGGATGAGCTAAATTAATGAAAAACTAAGGGGAAGCTTGAGGTGTCTCTCTGTTATTGTCGTGAACCTCTGGAGGTTTTGTTTTTCTCTGGGATCTCCTTATTTGGTTCATTTCTCTGGGCTGATTGTTTTCTCCCCTGTGATGGGCCTGCTGTTCCCTCACCTGTTCCCAATCACCTAATCAAGCCACCGCTCAAAAAAACTACCAGGACCGTTTCATATTGCTGGAATTTCCAACTTGCTTGACATAATCTAATCTAGCCTTCTTCTGCGCTTCTTATGCCAAGGAATAATCCCAGTGGAGTTGACCTCGGGTCTTCCTCCAAGTTACTTCCTGTAAGGTAGTGCAAGGTGGGAAAAGTGTTGATGTCTTAAATTTGCTTCACATCTTGTCGCAACGTAAAAACATCAAATCACATTTAGTTTTAACTCGTCAAAAAGCCGAGTACTTTTAAAAATATGCACAAGGCTTTGTAGGTGTTGCATTAAAGTCAAAAACACACGACTTTGCACTTGTGATGTTTCTATTAAACAAGAAACTCATGATTAAGTTGTAAGGTAATTTTCACTCTCTCCAAGCAGTCAAATCCCAGGAGTCATTAAAGTGCTACTACAAAAAACATAATTGTCTCCATCTGTTTTTTCTTTTTTGTTGGATTTTTGTACCATCAAAGAGAAATTGTCGAAAACATAACAGCTTGTATGTGTTGGTGAAGAAACAATAGGAAATGGGAAAACGGAGCACGTAGTGAATCACTGAGAAATGACGATCTTGTGTCGATTGAAACTAACTTTTCTGTTTTTGTACAGTCCTCCAAAAATGCAGGCATAAAGTAATAGACAATAATCATAAAAATGCAGCTTCAACGTCACACACGTCTCTGTGGTTGTCCACATTGGGACTGTAGATCTTAGTCCAGCTGTTAGTAACTAGAGCAGCTTCTGATGCAATATTTAATATAGGACAGTTTTTTTTTTTTCCTTCTCTGCTCACAGTCGATCTTCCATGAGCTCATCTATTTTTCTCTGAAATAAAAATAGCAAAAGAAGAGTTGAGAACTGACTTCAAAGTAGACAGATCTATCAAAAAGTATTCATATCGCTTGAACTGTGCCACATTTCCAACATTTCCACCACAAACTGTGTATCTCATGTTTTGAGATATTCTCATCTGATGCAACAGAATGGCTTTCCTGTCACCGCCGCCCCCAGCATGATGCTGCCACCACCACCATTTTCACATCACATTGTGTTAAAGGTGTTTGCTTTCCACCGCACCATTTTTCCCTTTCCTGGATTGTGGAGAACTACGAATGGGATCATAATGTGACTTTATTCCACATTTAGCTTCTGTTGCTTCAGCTTGGTTATGTCTATGCTTTACGTCCGCTGACGCAATGCGAGCTGCTCAAGCCTGAGGGATGTTGTTTTTATAACCTGCACCTGCTTTAAACTCCTCCACAGATTCATCCCTGACCTGTTAGCTTTGCCCATTACTCTTCGAGACGCCGTTTGCTTCGTGTTGTTCTCCAGCGAACCTCCGAGGTCTTCACAGAATACCTTGAATTACACACTGATTGACTCGGTTTACTGCTGGGACATTTGTAGCACTGTAACTCATTTTGCGTTTTAAAAATGTTTTAAATATATGCAGCTAACAGTTACGCTTGTAAGAAAGAAAAAAAAAATAGGTGTTGATCTTTCCACTTCTGTGTTTGTCTTGTAAGAAAAAAAAAAATCTCATTAAAAATGTTGACATTTATGACTGTAACGTGACAAGACTTGTGAAAGTGCACAGGGCGTGAGCGGCGGTGTATTGTTTTGGGACGACTGTGTTCTTTAATAAACTGAGCGCACACGCTGAGGTCAGCAGAAACAGTGAAGAGATCGAGAGGGAGCGGAGGAATGGCTGAAATGGAAACAAACCAACAGGAGAAACGCTCCGTAATGGTACAAACACACAGAATCGTTATGCACCGGCGAAATGATTCCAGCTCCTACTGCTCTCTCCTCATCGCTCTGCAGAGGACTCAACTTCCCTCTTCATCAACATAAAACGACAAGGGATGCAAACACGGTGAAACGCTCGGTGGAAGTCGAGGCAAACCCAAAGCGAAAGAAAAGGTTTCCATATAGTTCACTTGAACATCTGGGACTCATGTTTTAAGCAGTAGTAGTAATACGGAGCAAAGATGTTTAGATGGGTTGAATAGGAGCAATGTAGACCTAGAGACGGAGAACAGGGATGAATGGACAAAGGGAAGAATTTGATTAGATAATAGCAATCGTGTTTCCTAAAAGGTTTCCATTTTTATTGCTTACAATTTTGACTGAACACATGTCTCCCATTCAGAAAACACACACACACACACACATTACTGAGAGAACATGCACCTTTCCATTGACAAAATAAAAGAAAGAAAAACCATTAAACAGGCCTTTTCATTACTTTAATCAACTGAACACTTTAAGCGCTGTTGAGTAAAGCTCAGTTGTTGCACATTATACACATCCGACCTTTTCAGGAAGGAAGCGAGCGTCGACAGAATTCAAACTGTGCGATCGCACACGAGTCCCGTACCACTTTCTTTCCAGTTGACAACGTTTTGCTGCCATTTGTTTCTTTACGCTACATTGGATTTTTGTGAGGATATGGGTGCTTTGCATAAAACGAACAACCTTGTGCATTTAAAAATGTAGATTTGGAATCAACCCGGGTGTGTTTTTATTGACCTCAAGAAGTCCCGATTGTGTCACTTTTGCAAAAAAAAAAAAAAAAAAAAAAAAAAAGAAGCACATCCTGACACCAGCCACACATGACCTGCTCTGCCTTTCAGCTTCAGCACTGGGTTCCTTCTTGCTTGTTTTTTTGGGTGGCTGAGTTTTCTCAGTGGATGATTTGCACCGCTAAATCTAAATTACCCCGATATACACAGACTGTCGGTATCCACCCGGGGCCGGAATGTGCTTCCTGCGAGCGTTGTCTTGGAGCAACCCGCACAAAAAGCTCAGCATATGGCTCACGTCCAGAAACACAGGCACCCTTTCAGTATAAATGAATACTCCATTAGTTCAGTTCACCTCGCTCACCTTCCGTATGCTGCTCCCATCAAAAAAAAAAAAAAAGAAAAAATCCTTTTGCAACAAATCCCATTTCACCCGGGGTGTGTGGGCTTCAAGGCATGCCAAGAAACTGCAAGCCTCTTTTAGCTAGGCAGTGCTTTGGCTTTAACTCCCCAAAGATGAACATCACATCCAAGCGAGCCACAACTGAGAGAAAGTACTGCACTCGAAGAGGAAGAAATGCCAAAAAGTTATTTGTTTCTAGTTTTTCTGATTGTTTTTGTTATTATTTCAATCTGTTGACCCTCACAGCACATCTCATTTGAAAAATCCCATTATACCCTCAAACAAATTTCTGGCGGTATTCCCATTACGTTCATAGATATTAAAGCTCAAACACAAAGCATCACAAACAGGGAGCAGAGCTTGTTTTTTTTTTTCAAAATCCGTTTCATTAAAATTCTGTGTCTGTCAACCCCACTAATGAAAAATTCAAAGAAGATTAAAAAAAAAAAAAAGAGAAGAAACGCTCGGAATTAAATCGAAAACCCAAATCAGATCCTTAATTTGTCCTCCAGCAAACCCCCGGTTCATACTGATGCGGCTTTAGCCGTGGCTGTAAAAGAATAGTTTCATTAAAGGGAGATTTTAGGGCTGTCAAAGTGTTTTCGACTGCTTGAGAAGAGAACATCGTTACTGTATAGAAAGGTTAATATTCAAAACACCAGAGCTAGACAGCGTATAGTAAAGGTATAAAACAAAACACCTATGGATATTTTGTTTGAAGTAGATAAAATAAATAAATTTTTCAGGATCTGTTATGTTTATGTGCAATCTATTTGCTCTCTTATGTAGAAATATACAGCTCTGGGAAAATGGAAGAGACCACTGCATCGTGTTTCCCATTGAAAACCTGGTTATTTCACCAAATATTGGTTTCTGAACTTTTTCTGAGTTAAAACATTAGCATCGTTGTTTCTAAATGAATACAAACTTGTTTTCTGTGCTTTATTCGAGATCTGAAAGCACTGCATCTTTTTTTGTTATTTGACCATTTCTCATTTTCTGCAAATAAATAATACATTTTTAGCTTGCAATTTAAGAGACATGTTGCCACAAGATTAAGACATAATATTTCTTCCTTTACTTGACTGTTACTTTGAAATCACTGATATGTTGCATAATTTTTGGAGAGCCAAAAATTTGTTGGCGTCTATGTGAGGGGGCTTTCCCTTTAAGACGTGCAGACCAGCTGCATGTCACGTGACTTCGGCTCGCAAGCTAAGCTGAGCTAGTTTTCATGTTACGCATGTGTTCAGTGAATCCACTTAAATCTGCAAGCATCTTTGCCCTGACGAAGCATTATGGGTATGTTATGTTTAATATATCTCTGTTTATCGTTACTTTTACATTATTTCTAGTCTTTGAGGTTGATGTCAGATATTTTTGAATGTGCATTGTAAGAATGTAAAGTGATGTTTTGTGTGTTTTAGTTTTACTGTTATTCTTTCATAAATATGGGTTTCATTATGTGAATACTGACTTAAAACGACAAGATGATAAACTCTGTGAATGCTGGCTGCTGGCTGATCAAACCGCATTGGGGTGCAGAAATGGCGAACCGCAGTTCTTGACCATGTGCATTTGATCGGCTCTAAATGATACATTGATCATCTGACTGGCGCCAAACTGGATATGTATGACCTTTGTTGACCTCTAAACACCCCAACAACATTGAAATGTATTTTGACTCCACAGCGCCAACTACATTAATACACCAGCTATATCTCCTTGCTAAATCAACGAATCTGCACCACATTTTTTGTGCATCGTCAAGGAGCGCAGCCGAACGCATCATGCGTACCGCCTGGTGGACGGGCGCGGAAACTGCGCAACAACTTCTGTGTTGGAACGTGGGCAACGTTGATGGAAACTGCGCAACAGCTTCCGCGGTGCGGGCGGAGGCGCTGAAAACTGCGTGAGATTTTCTGTGGTGGCTGGCGTCAGTTGCTAGTACCCTGCTGTGAGGGACCACCTTCCAAAAGAGGACAAAAAAGGTGTTCAAAATATAAAAATTTCAATTTAATTCTTCAAAAATGATAAACAATTACATACAAAAAGAAAGAATTACAAATTTGAAACTAACTTAACTGAGGCCAACTGAACTCTAACCAAACAAAACAAAACTGACCTACCAAGGAAGAACAAAAGGCTGCTTAAATAAGGGTGTAGTTTCCTAAAGCTACCACATGAGGGAGGCACAACATAACAAAAGAACAAACAAATACAAAATTAACCAAAGTATTCTGTAAAACAAAACAAACTTTAACTTAGCACGAATAATAAGTGAATATTTAAGTGAAGAAATTAACTAAATTCAAATCAACTTGAAACAAGTCTCCCCCTCCAGTTTCTTAGAAAATGGTTTGTTCCTGGTCCCTCCTCCAGATGGTTTGACAACAGCACCTCAAACAAATATAAATAACTATTCAGACAGATATTAACTAAAGTGTGGACCCATTAGAAAATATATGTCTAAATGAAATAACTAACATAACTGTAACTAATATAAAGAGAAAATAAATACTAACCGTGTGTTGGTGGTAGGAGCATCCACCACACACACCCCCTCCTCTGAAGGCTCGCTGGCACAGCGGGACAAGTAGTCAGCAGTAATGTTTTGTCTGCCAGGAATGTGACGCACCTCAAATTTGTAGGGCTGCATGGCAAGGTACCAGCGGGTTATTCGACTGTTGCTGTCCTTCATCTTCTCCAGCCATTTTAAAGCTTTATGGTCAGTTTCCAATACAAATTGTCTTCCCAGGAGATAGTAGCGAAGAGAATCCAAAGCCCACTTTATCGCCAGGCATTCCTTCTCTATTGTGGAATAAGGAGTTTCTCTAGAGAAACGTTTACGGCTGATGAAGGCGATGGGGTGACGATCATTTGGAGAACCCTGAAGCAACACTGCACCAAGACCTTTGTCTGCTGCATCAGTTTGTAAAATAAACTCCTGCTGGAAGCCAGGGCAATGGAGCACAGGATCTTTACTTAAAGCCTGCTGAATGTCTTTGAATGCTTGCTTGGCTTCTTCAGACCACTGTAGAATGTTTGGGCCCCGAAGACTGGTCATGTCTGTAAGAAGAGAAGCTCTAGCAGAGTAATTCTGGATAAATCTGTGATACCAACCAGACATGCCCAAGAAGGATTTCAGTTGTTTTCTTGTCTGGGGAAGGGGGCAGGACTGGATGGCTTCAAGCTTTTTAATTTGTGGCTAGGGTTAGGGTTAAATAGGTTAGAACAGCAGATCAGTATGTAGAGATGGATGTAAAGAATTTCAAAAGAAAACCTGTTTTTAAATCCTCTGGCAACATATTGTAATCCTCTCTCTGACTGTGTTGCTTTGTTGTGCTTCAACCAGAGGAGGATCACAAATGGAGGATGTTGAGGAGGATGACAAGAGCCACATGAGCGGCTCAGTGACATCTTTACCAGAGGTGAGTCCTTTTGACTCTTTTGACTTGAGTTCACACTGATGATGTAAACTGGTAGTTTAAGTTGGCTTACAGAAAATACACACAATGCAGTTTTCTTTAGAAATTCTTTACATCCATCTCTACATACTGATCTGCTGTTCTAACCTATTTAATCGCTATTTGTTAAATTGTTGTATTTTGATCTCCTGCTTCAGTCTGAAGGAAACATCTATCTTTTATAGTGTGCAAACACAGATTCCCCCAGAAAACTTGCTAAGCCCGGTGGTCGGGGCGCCGAGGCGGTCCTCTGTGTTTTTGTGTTAAAAGATCTTAAATAGACAGGAAACGTAAAAATTGAATGTAAAAAATATGTTGCAGAAAAAAGCCACTGAAAGGCTATTTAACCCACAACTAGTCTTGGAAAAAAAAAACATAAATAAAAAAAATAATACAATTGAAATGAATATCAATTATTTGCACTTCTGTTTAATCCAAAGTAAGTCAGGAGCTCTAACAGGCCCCGTGGGGCCTCTGGGGCCCTTAAATGCTAATATTTAACACAGACCTCAGATACTTAAATGTAACATTTGTTTATGGAGATGATCCATCCATCTATGATTGCAAATTTGCACATTGGATCTCGTCAAATATGTTCAAAGTTTCTAAATCTGGACTAAATTTCTCTCAACCAAAACAAGACTGGGTGTGTTCTTTTAGCTTTCTATGTAAAAGCAGAATGTATGGCTTGAAAGAGCTTTGTTTCCCCCGCGCCAAGATGTTATGGCAAATCTTTCACTCTGTCTTGTATAAGTATGATGACATTTTTTTATATTTCCTTGACTGTCTCCAATGATTTGGTCCCACAGATCTATAGCACCATCAACTGGAACGAAATCCATGATGAGTGTGTGAGTAAAGTCCATCAACACATCCACACTGGAGAGAGGCTATACAGCTGTGATCAATGTGAGAAGAGATTCATCAAAAAAAGTCAGCTGACACGCCACCAACACATCCACATTAGAGAGAGGCCATACAGCTGTGATCAATGTGAGAAGAGATTCATCAGAAAAAGTCAGCTGACACAACATCAACACATCCACACTGGAGAGAAGCCATACAGCTGTATCTATTGTGGAAAGAGCTTTGTTCAAATGGCACATCAGGCAGTCCATCAGCATAACTGCAGAAGAAAGGGGCTATGTCATGTCTGAGTAGGAGAAACGAAACGGATGTTTTTCAGATCACCAACATACAATGAATACCTCTGAATGCATGTAAATAGTTTCAATACAAGCGATTACAAAAGCAATTTAAAGTTGCAAGGTTTTTTATTTTATTTTATAAATAATCATGTAATAATAATGTACATCTTCACACATGTAACAAGTCAAACGCGAGTCCGGTTCTTAGAAAGTGTCTTATTGTGGCTACACTTGGTTCCTGTTTTGGCCTTAGCTGTGTGACAAAGTGGTGCAGTTTGTATTCACCATTTGTCTCTTATTCTTATTTCTCATTAACTTGCCTTCTTTAGTTGGTCATAATGCATACATTTAAACATTACTTTGCAACTTTGCTTCACTTACTATCCCGGGTTTGTTTGTGTTATGTTGCAGTTTCCATCTATTTATATGTTTAGGTTGAAATGTTTACTTCTGGATTATTGGTTGAATTTGTTTATTTTGTTTCAAAGTATATTCATGGTATTTGGTTTCCTTTTTACTCATCATTGTTTATCCCTTGTCGATCTGCAGCAGAACTATGGGAGGGGCCGGCCCAGTGTTTCCTGCTTGAATGTCTGGATGATGTCATTAATTACCTTGCTGGGTTCTCCCAATTAGAGGGTTTTCTATAAAGAATTGCTGTGTTTTTTCCTTAAAGTAACTTTTTGAGTTATCTTCCACTCCATGGTTTATTTTTCAGACTATTTCATTATGTAGATGAGTTTGTAATGTTGTTTTTCTGTTTAGATTTTGGTTTTTTTGTCTTCTTTTTTCCTGTTTAATTGTGGTTTGGTCCACTCAGCTGCAGGTGTGTTGCCAATTGGCCATAAAAACATTGATTTTTGGAAGCTCGGGAGGAATCTCTGAGGCAAAGGTGTGTTACAACCCGTCTAGGGGTCCAGGTCATAACACGAGTGATCCATCCTCCTCTGATCTCAAGCGGTCAACACAAACAAAATTGACATTTTATGACGTTATTTATTGTAAAAGGATGTATTTTTTGTTGATACCAAAATGTTACAGCCAAGGGAGTAGATCTCTTCAGAGTGAGCCCAATGCCGAAAACAACAAACAAAAGGAACTATCTAAATATTAACAAACTTACCTAAAAAAAAAAAGAAACCAAATAACAAAAACTTACCTCCCTAACTACGAAAACAGGGGAAAACTAATGAAACATAAACGGCAGCTCACTCCTACAAACTCCAGAACGTTACATGATTTTTACAGGCAAAACAAACAAAAGAGTGCAGCCGGTTGAGATGAGCGGAGGACGGACGACAGGAAGTGCGCGTCTGCAGCTTTTATATCCGTCACCTCCGGGAGGCCACCAATAGGACGTCCGTCGTCTTCCGTCAGCCAATCAGAAGCAGGCACCTGCACACTCAGATTTGCATAATTACGAAGACGGTCGTAACACCCCCTTTCATAAGAATTAAACACACCCCTAAGTGTTTAATTCAAATAACTTAAAAACTTCTAGATAAAGCATCAGCTAATACATTATTCTTACCCTTTTTGTAGTGGATCTGCAAGTTAAAATCTTGCAGCAACAGAGACCAGCGCATCAGTCGATGGTTGGAATTTCGCATTTGGGAGACAAAAACTAGTGGGTTGTGATCGGTAAACACTTGAAGAGGTTGCGCACTAGAACCAATATAAACTTCGAAGTTCTGTAACGCAAGCAACAAAGCAAGAGCTTCCTTTTCAATTGTGCTGTAATGAAGCTGATGTTTATTAAACTTCTTGGAAAAGTAGCAAACAGGATGCTCTATCCCTTGTTCATCTTCTTGCATAAGCACAGCTCCAGCGCCACACAAACTTGCATCAACTTCGAGTTTAAAGGGACGCTCAAAATTTGGCGCAGCCAGCACTGGTGCACTGCACAACAATGCCTTGGTGGACTCAAACGCAACCTGACAAGATGAAGACCAAATAAAAGATTTCAAAGGACTAACAAGTTCAGTCAATGGACTAACCACATCTGAAAATTTTTTACAAAACCCGCGATAAAAACCGCACATTCCCAAAAAGCGACGCAAGTCTTTTTTTGTTTTCGGGATAGGAAAATCAATTATTGCCTGCACTTTAGCAGCAATAGGACGAACTTGTCCTTGGCCAACCTGCTTTCCTAGATAAGAGATTGTGGCTTTTCCAAACTCGCATTTCGAGAGATTCAATGTAAGAGAAGCATCGCGAAAACGACTGAACACTTCTGAAAGAGTTTCCAGATGTTCTGACCAAGTAGTATACTTCACAATTCTTCACTCCACATAATACTTTTTGCATTAATCGTTGAAATGTCGCGGGTGCATTACGCAACCCGAAAGGCATAACAGTATATTGGAGGAAATGATCAGGCGTTACAAACGCAGAAATTTCGGAAGCTCTAGATGTTAACGGAACCTGCCAGTAACCTTTTAATAGATCCAACTTTGTAACAAATTTAGCGGAGCCAACACGATCAATGCAGTCTTCCATCCTAGGAAGTGGAAAAGAATCGGGCTTTGTGACAGCATTAACCTTTCTATAATCTGTACAAAACCGAGATGTATTATCTGGTTTCGGGACTAGAAGACAGGGCGAACTCCACGCGCTGTTACTGGGCACTGCTAAACCATGCTCGACCAGATAAGCAACCTCCTGCTGCATCAAAGCACGCTTCGTTGGATTTATTCTATAAGCATGTTGTTTAATTGGTTTCTCAACCTCCACATCAATATCATGGAACAGCACAGCTGTTTGGTGTGGATGATCTGAGAAAAGCAAGATATTAGCTTCAATTAGGTCAATGACATCTTTTCGGGCAGCCTGAGATAAATGAGATAGAAAAGATTCCAAATTTTCCATCACTTCCGAGTTCCGCAAACGAGTCACAGGCACGCAACCACTGTTCTCCCTCAAATCGTCATCTGCCAAATGATATGGCGGGGATAAAGAGCAAACTGAGCCCGGAGGAACAAAAGAGTTTTTATCTGCAACGCCATCCCTAGAAACATAACGTTTGAGCATGTTAATATGACAAACCCTTGTTTTGCGTTTTCGATCAGGAGTTTTAATCACATAGTTTGTCTCATTTATTTTCCTGTCCACTTCATATGGGCCAGAAAATTGTGCATGAAGACTCGATCCACTCAAGGGAAGGAGAACCAAAACCTTTTCACCTTGAGTGAAATCTCTGCTCACAGATTTTTTATCGTGACGAGCTTTCATTTTATTCTGAGCCTTAGCCAGATTTTCTTGGGCCAACTGACATGCACGAAAGAGACGCTCTTTAAAACTACTAACATAATCCAACACGTTGTGTTCAGTTTGACGCGACTCTGACAACCATTTCTCTTTAACGAGTTGAAGTGGACCACGAACAGTGTGTCCAAATACCAAATCTGCCGGACTGAATCCAAGGGATTCCTGAGTAGTTTCTCTAACTGCAAACAGCAGAAGCGGAAGACCCTCATCCCAACTTTTATCAGAGTCAAGGCAATATTTGCGCAACATAGTTTTCAAGGTTTGATGAAACCTCTCCAGTGCACCCTGTGACTCTGGATGATACGGGCTGGAGGTTTGATGTTTAATTTTCAGTTCCTTCAAAACTTGAGCAAATACTTTTGACATAAAATTCGTTCCTTGATCAGTTTGAACAACTTTAGGCAAACCAAAAGTTGAAAAAAAAAAAATGTGAGGGCTTTCACAATGTTCTTCGCCTTTAACGTGCGTAATGGAATAGCCTCCGGAAAACGAGTGGCAGCACACATTATCGTTAAAATGTACTGATAACCCGACTTTGTCTTTGGCAAAGGGCCCACACAGTCCAGTAAAACTCGTTCAAATGGTTCGCCAATCGCTGGAATGGGATAAAGAGGCGCTGGTGAAATTGGTTTATTTGGCTTTCCCACTAACTGGCATGTGTGACATGACCTACAATATTTAACAACGTCAGACTTTAACCCAGGCCAAAAAAAAAATTACGCAACACACGGTGATACGTTTTTTTTACACCAAGATGTCCAGCCAAGCTAGCATCATGCGCAAGACTCAGAATCTGAGGCCTGTAATCTTTTGGCACAACGACCTGATTTATTCTATGCAGATCACCTAAATCTTGGGCCCAAGACCTCATCAGAACACCGTTTTCAACAAAATAGGTCACCTGGGCTTTAGATCCACTCTCATCTGCAGCAGAAAAACAAAAACTCAGTGACAGATCACTATGCTGTGCCTTAATCAACATCTCCTTAGTGATGTTCAAACTCAAGGTTTTATCTGCAGGAATGAGTTCAGAAACTTCGCATTTTGACATTTTTACAGAATCATTCAAATCAAAATCATTTTCATCAAGTGTAGCCATAAAGGACCCAGACAAATCTACCATTTCACCCATTTTACGAGCTTGCGCGCGCGTAATTGCGCATGCAGGAAACGCATCCACAGTAGCAGCTGCTTCAGCAACAAGAGTAAACGAAATCGGGTCGTCAACAACTTCTGGTGTAGGAAACACTCTTCCGCCAGCCAAGTCATTTCCAAGAATGAAGGAAACTCCTTCAATTGGTAACTGCGGACGCGCAGCTACTTTAACGTGTCCCGAAACTAAAGGTGAATACAGGTGCACCATATGCAAAGGGGCTTTGATTACATTCATTTTTATTCCCCAAACAAGAATATCTGACTCACAAGATGTTTGCTTAGATAAAGGCAGCACAGATTCCAACAAGAAAGATTGATAAGCACCTGTATCTCTAAGGATTGTGATTGGGACTTTATCATTTTCCTCACCTGTCAAAGAAACAAAACCCCGCGAAATAAACGGCAAAAACTGTGGATCAACATTAACTTTAGACTTTTGTTGAATGTCACCGCATACGTTCGTTTGAGTAGCTGAGTTTATCAATCCCACACCCGTAGATGTTTTTATGCTTTGAGCTTCTTTTTCCTTTAAGACGGGACACGCAGCAATTAAACGTCCAGGTGCGTGACAAAAGCAATCCCGATTGTTTGCTTTTAAAGCAACTGATGGCACATTTCGACTCCCTGATCTTAAACATGCATTTTTTCGTTAGGATAAATTTTCCTGAAACAAATTCTGTGAAGAAAACACATTTTTATGAGTCAAAACAAACTCGTCAGCCAAAAATGCTGCATTTGTTAAAGATGACGCTTTCTGTTCATTTAAATAAGTCACAATCTTTTCAGGCAAACAATTTTTAAACTCTTCCAACAAAATTAACAATTTTAAATCATCAATAGTTTTGACTTTACACGAATGACACCACTTATCAAACAAAATATTCTTCTCTCGCGCAAACTCAACGAATGTCTGATTAGCAGTTTTATTAAGATTTCTAAATTTCTGACGATATGCTTCAGGGACAAGTTCGTAAGCTTGCAACACAGTTTTCTTAAGAGTCTCATAATCTAAACTCTGTTCAATAGACAAGCTTGAACACACTTCTTGGGCTTTTCCAACAAGCTTACACTGAAGTAAGAGAGACCAAAACTCCTTCGGCCAACTCAGAGCAACAGCTATGCGCTCAAATGCGCCAAAATAAGAGTCGACTTCAGACTCACGAAATGGCGGAACCAATGTGATGTGCTTACTGATGTCAAACGTGACTAAAGCAGAAGAATCTGTGCTTGGTGGTTTTGGTGAAGGTGCAGGTGAACCATTTTGGAGCTCAAGGGCTCTGATTCGAAGATGCATGGCTTCCACTTCCAGCTGCTTGTTGCGGTTCTCCACCTCCCTGATATGGAGTGTGAGACGCAGATCCTCCGACGACATACCTTCAAGAGGTTTAGAGTCTTTGCTGATTCCTGAGACTGCAGCAGGCACGTCAGCCAGTGCTGCGTCAACAACCGCTCCAAGTGCGCCGTCTCCGACTTCCGTCATTGCAGCCATTTGCAACACACCTTTTTCCACCAATTTTTCACACAGCGTTTCCTTCAGTTCCGCTTTTCGATCACTGCAAGACACCTCAACATCATAATGGTCAGCCACAATAAGCAGATCCGCTTTTCTACATTTTTCCAATTTTACCCAAGAAGGTGAACTCACAAAATCATCAAGAGAAAATCGCTTCTCCATAGCTCTCTCTGTGCATAAAATAAAACTGCCAATCAGAACAATGAACACTTACCAAACAAAACGAGAGAAGAACACCAAAATTAAAATTTTGGGAGGAATTTGAACGGACGAGCCCCCAATTCATGTTACGACCCGTCTAGGGGTCCAGGTCATAACACGAGTGATCCATCCTCCTCTGATCTCAAGCGGTCAACACAAACAAAATTGACATTTTATGACGTTATTTATTGTAAAAGGATGTATTTTTTTGTTGATACCAAAATGTTACAGCCAAGGGAGTAGATCTCTTCAGAGTGAGCCCAATGCCGAAAACAACAAACAAAAGGAACTATCTAAATATTAACGAACTTACCTAAAAAAAATAAAGAAACCAAATAACAAAAACTTACCTCCCTAACTACGAAAACAGGGGAAAACTAATGAAACATAAACGGCAGCTCACTCCTACAAACTCCAGAACGTTACATGATTTTTACAGGCAAAACAAACAAAAGAGTGCAGCCGGTTGAGATGAGCTGAGGACGGACGACAGGAAGTGCGCGTCTTCAGCTTTTATATCCGTCACCTCCGGGAGGCCACCAATAGGACGTCCGTCGTCTTCCGTCAGCCAATCAGAAGCAGGCACCTGCAAACTCAGATTTGCATAATTACGAAGACGGTCGTAACAGGTGTCAATGAAAGTCATCTGAAGACAGTTGTTGTTTGTTGTTCACCTTGTAGACCTTTGACCACACTATTTTACAAGCTGGAATTTAGCATCACACCAACTACTATTCTTGTGCTGTGTAGGGAGTATCAGTGAAAGTCGCGCTGTGTCAGCAGCCATTGTATTGCATGTCTCATGCAAAAAGCAAGCGACATACATTATTCCAACTATTTAAACTGTTCATGCAGCAAGAGAGCTCATTGTGGAGTGTTGCATTGGTTTGTTGTCTTAATTGTTATATTCTATGTTTACTGACATTTCTCTTGTTTTTTTTTGTTCAAATTGAAGGTCCTAAAGTTTCCTACAGCTTAAAATACGTTTATTGAGGTAATCAAAAAACAAACTTTTTGGCAGTACTTCAGGTTGTTGTAACGTGCATAATGGATTAAACCACTGAAATTTTGCTTTTATAGAGTAATAGAAAATAAATGAAAATAGAATACTCCAAAGATTAGAAAATGTATGAATAAGGATCAATTCAATAACATTAAAAAATAAATGTTAGACTTGAGAGATTTGAAAAATAAATATCTCTTCAGTTTTTACAGTTTCATAACTGTAAATAAAAAGGTTTTGCAAACAAAGACAAATTACTTTAGAAAAAAAAGTTAGTCTCGAATAGATTGGGTTCTGGATTTCTTCTTTTAATCTTCAGTGATGATGCTTGACTCTTGTCATGGCGCATTAATGTAAATCTTATTTAAATTATTGGCAAATTAATATGAGTCAATTTAAATTTAATTCAGTTCAATAAGTGTTTTCTGAGTCTGCATTCAAAATTACTTTAAAATATATTCAGCAGACAGATGATTCCTATGGGTCCCAGTTTTTTAAAAATAGTTTTCCTGCCTCCATTAAGTCGCTTATAGTCATTCTGAGCCCTTAACTTTTTCAAATCCCACACAATTGAAGTGATAGAAAAAAAAGAAAGAAAACATGCAATAAATAAAATCAATATATTCAGCAGTAATTCTGGCGGTTTTGATAATATTGTTAAGGTGGATCGAGATGTTTTTTCTCCAATTTGGACAGATGTTTCATACCTTCCTACTTCCATTTCATACCCACATATCAAACGATATCTTTCACATTTAAAGCAGTTTCAAATGTTTCTCATCAATTAACGCATTGATGGTTATTGAAATCAAACTGTTGGTGTTTTTTGTAAAGTCCATATGCTCAGTGGCATATTTTGTAAATCTGTTGGCCTTATTGCTCAAGGTTTTCTTTCCAACTTCATTAACCTTAACTCAGTTCATCACAACAATTTGCAAACTGGTATGAAACATCTCTGTCTGCTGCATATGTTCTGTGAAGCAACACTGTGAAAGCTCATGCACCTGATACCTCTTGGTACTTTGCTGCTGCTAAACCAAGCAACAAACTTGCTGCTTTCAGTTGTGAAACTTCATCTTTTCTTGGACCGCTACAGACATGAGCAAGAAAATTCTGTGTAATTTGTGTGTGTGTTATTATTTCTTTTACCTACTGTAATATATATAAAATAGGCCTGAATTTATCTCATATCCTTTGATTTAAACGTCCACATGAGTACAGAGCTTGGAGAGAGAAGAAGGGAATTTGATTTGTGAAATAAAAGAAGAGGCAGACACAACATGGAGCACTTCTTGTCGTTACGATATCGGTTTATTTCGCTCCCATCCGCCCACATCGTCAGCTGTGCGCTGCAGCTGGATTTCTCCCATAATGACATATTTGCGTTGCCTTGACATCGCTCTCACCCAAGAAACAAAAGTGGAGGTTAAATGACTTGTAGGTGTGCAAAGTGAGAGACTGTGACTCGGAAGATTGCTGTTTGCATTTTGTCACTCAACACCTTTTGATCCGTGTCTTTTAATCGGGCTCTGAAGCTTTGAAGAACAGAAACTGAATCCACTATCAACCCAATGAAAAGAACCACAAGCAGGGCCGTGCAGAGACTAGTAAAGGGGCAGGTGCTCAAAAAAAAAAAAAGGCACATCAAATCACATTTCAGGACAGAATATTAACAAAGTCACACAGCTCTCAGAGTTTAATTAACAGGGATAGATTACAAAATTGTGAGACATACAATCAAAGAACATCTGCTTGGGTTGCTGTACTTGCAGTGGAGATGAAGACGGTCCATTCAGAAAAACAGAGCTGCATCAAACTTTAACGTGGAACTGCAGGAAAAAAACAAAAGCAAAAATGTAATTAATGCATGTCAATATGAGAAAAGACTACTCTATTTGTGTTTTAGTGTATTTTGTAAGTACCTATGTACATTTTCTTCAATCTTTCCTCTTCTTTTTTCTTGTCAGTTTCTCTTTTCTTTTTTTCCTCATTGTCTCATCTTCTCTGTGTTGAGTGAAGTCTTATTTATTTCAGTCTCTTGCCTTTTAACTGTTTAAAAACAAATTTCAAACTTTTAAGCATTTTTTTGCTGTTTTTGTTCTCTTTTGTTCATAGCAACAGTTTTCTGTTGGTCATGTCTTGATAACCTAATAACCTCACTGTGAATGATTGGTACAGTTGACCCAGTTGGTCAACAATCCACTGCCTTTCTTTTTTGTTTCTGACGTCTCTCTTTACGTGGCGTCTTTGAACTGAAAAAAGCAAAACAAAGAATTATGATCAGAACACTATAATAAACCACACTACCAATTCTTTACCCTAGTGTTTAAACCAATATGTTTTTCAGTCCATAGCATAACAATATTAATTTCAGAGAAAATGAGACCTCTCCTATGGAGTTCAATTTGGTTCACAATTATTCAATTAAAATACTAACCTCAATTAAATAATATAAAATTGTGATCAAGACATTTTGAATTGTAACATTTTTTTCAACAAAAAAAGTTTAACTTTTTTTTTTTTTTTTAAACTGAAATCACATTTTTATCTCATGACTTAAAAAATTATTTGCAAAACTAACAAACTTATTTGTGCATGTCAGAAATCTTTGCTTGCTATTCAAAGTTTTGCTTGCGATTCTCACATGAGGTCTGGGGAGAGCCTAAAATCAAAACCAAAGATTTCTGATGTGTGCAAATAAAAGTTTATGTTTGCCCCTTCATTAATGACATGCTTTATTGGACAGAAACAGTTTGATTATTACATACATTATATCTATCATGGTAGTTCAGGATGAGTTATTTTTAATTCTAAATGAATATCCTTCTTGGACTTTTATTTAAATTCTCCTTCAAGATACATTTACCTAACGCTAGAATAAATGCAATATACATCATTCACCAAAGAAAATTAGAAAATCGGACATATATCCATTATGGAGATGATAGGTTTTGGACGGGCGATGTGGCCCTATTGCATAAGTAATACTGAAGAATGACTACTGTCATTAACAATACAGGGAAGCTATTTTGTTACCTTGCTTTGCTAGCACAGTCATTAGCTAGCAGCTAGCTCATAGCACAACAACAGCCTAATGTCTGATGATAAAAATACTGGATCGATAGATAAGAACAGCTTTTCCTCACCTGTCTGTCTCCTCCCGCTCAGTTTATTCAGAGGCGGACTTAGAGACTTATATTCTCTAAGACGCCTGTCTTGTTACATTTCATTCTGCTTAAGGAGAAACGATACAACATTTAACGTTTTCCGTTATCTGACAGTAGCAAGCCGACTCCAGTGTTTTCACCAAAAATAATTTTTTTCAGTTCACCAAAAGCTGTTTTGTAATCTGGAACGTCGCTAGCTTGAGCTCCGCAGTTAGCCGCCTTATCTCACCGCGCGAGAGGCAAGAGCGTCGTGCGTCACGGGCAAAAGGTCAAAGGTAATAATGTGACCGGAGGGCTTATTGTGTTGTTTTTCTTGTGTAACCGGATCAACCAGGTTACACTTGCAAAGTAATAATAATAATAATAATAGTAATATAGTAATAATTGTAGTACATGTGTAAGAAAAAAAAACAAAAACAAAAGGGCACTTGGGGCCATGGAGAAAAAGGGGCAGGTCCTCAAGCCCCCAAAGCACCCCCCTCTGCACGCGCCTGTTGCCAGAAGATCATAGAATAAAATAACAATGTTTATTTTAGTCAAACATGTAGAGTAAAATCAGGGAAACCGATGATCTGAAGTGATCTCTTAATTTTTTCCAGATAAGAATTTGCTGTGGTTTTTGGTCAGGCTCAGCCCAAAGAAACGACAGGAAGCTCCCTCTACATGGAGCCATCAAACAACAAAGAGAAACGTCTCTGCAAGTATAGCCAGTGCATTGCAAAACCTTTTTCTCTGACTTTAAACTGCCGCTGCACTTTCTTGTTGAGTTGCTCCCAAATGACAATCTAGCCTCGTCTCTGACGACAAAAAAGTGTTCAGGGTTAAAGCCCACCAGCCTCTCGACTGTCGCTTTCATCACATTGATGACTCTACATCTGTAGCTCTTCTATTTACTCCTGGACAGGAAGTCGCTTCAGGACAGCTCGCCGATTTGCACCCAAATAGTGGCTTGTGTACACTTGTTTTTTGTTGTTTGGTTGTTTGAACACATGCCACGCTCGCTGTGCTGTTTCACACTGTGCCTCCCCTTCCAGGCAGGCTTGTCTGTTTACGGGTTTACACGAATTAGCATTTTCCGGTGAATCACACCTCGTCTTTGTCTAGACTGTGTAGTTTCAGAGCCATTATGTAAGTTAACAAACACTCAAAATGTCTGGGAATATTAGGTACTTAACGACTTATGAGAACATTTCTTTAACCTGGCGATAAGTAAAAAAATATAAATATGCCCAAGTGCAAAAGTTTTAATTTATAGTAATTTGATTTAAGCGAGAATGCACTGTGAATTTGCCCTTAAAATTCAGAACAAGAAAACGGAAATCATTCAATGATCAGTACATGATGACAATACTCATATTAATATGAGTTTCTAAGTTTCTGACTATAGATCTGATGTGACGCTTGACCTTCATGTCAAAGGATGAAACATGTGCAAAACACCCTGTGGGTTAGCTGTAGCGTATAAGTGGAAGGAATTAAAACCAGAGGATTGCGCTGAAGGCGTCAAACTGAGATAGTGGTGTTGAGCAAATCTCACATTAACCCTCGCTGATGGGCTTTTATGAATCCCATCTTGCTGAAGTGCTGAAAAGGTTTAATCCAAATATCCAACTGAGCTTTTACCCGACCATTTGTAAATTAAATATATAGATTTAGATTTCTCTTAAACCTTAAATCCGATATACCGAGAACGTATGATGGCCAAAGCTCACAATGTCACATTGTCGGATGTTTACTGAAGTGACGTCGTATTTTGTGATCCCAGCACTAAAGTAATCCTTTTAATGCATATTCACATATTAGTCTCTTTTTTCTCAGAAATGCAGAAAAAACAACTAACATGCACTGCAGAATTATCCTAAAGGACAAACAGCTTTTTATCTTTCTTTGTGTGTTAACAAGTTACCGCAGTATTAAAAATGGATGTAGAACAAGATCAACGCAGGATTATGAAATAATGGGAAACTTAAATTCAAGGAAAGGAGCAACCAAAACCTGTTGACTGAGAGCGCACAACATCCATACAGCATTGTGAAAAAACATAAAGCTGCTGCGGAGTCAGCAGACACTTACAGCAACAGTCTGTGTTGTTTGCTGCAAAGCACTTATTTCCAGGTATCATGCAGCTTGATTCAACAAAATGTGATATTGTGATTCACGTTGCTGCAGTGAAGTTGAAAATCCCCAAAACAGCCTGATTATATATCGAACAAGCGAGACTTTTAGATGCCTCCATTTGCAGCAGCCCATTTTTACAGAAAAATTTGCTATTTCATGGTGTTCCATCTAAAGCAGCAGGGTTAGGGTGAAATGGGGCAATAGTGTTCCTCAGAGTTAAAGTTTTCATCAAAGCCATAAGAGTGATTATAAAATCTGTCTGAATGTTGCACGGATTTGAGTTTGTTGATTAGAATTTTGTCACAAATGGTCACAAAATCTTGTGGAGCGTGGAGAGTAGGGCGGGGCTCGCTATCGAGTGCTTTCAAATTTCTCAGTAGAGTGCTGGTCTGTTAGGTCTCTCGTCTTCCCACTCCCCACCAAGCAAACTGCTGTGTAAATGATTTTGCATTTTGAGACGCCACGTTTGACGTCTCATTTTGCAAACACGAAACATTCTCAAGCTTAATGTTCCGTCACTCTTTAGCAACTTTCATCTGTATTCTCACTCTTTTTCTGTCTTTGATCCTGTTTTTTGGGGGGGGTTTTACATGCTCTTCGAGATATGGATTCAGCTTCACTATCGGGAGCTGCAACCTCAGATGTAGTTAGAAATTCAGAGTCATGACAATCAAGATGAATGCTGCTAAAGTGAATTTCCTGGAAGTGTAGTCAAAACGTTGGGATTCGAACGCCGTGTTGTTTTCTGTGGTGCCAACTCCTCAACATTTTCAACATTGAGGTTCCTAAAATATCTGGATAAACCATGAGTCAGTCTCGTTTTTAGCAGCACGTCCTATAAAGGCTTCATCAGACGGACGTCTGAAAAGAGAGAGAAGTTTTGTTGCGAAGCAGCAAACAGAACTGACCAGCACATTTTGCTCCAAGTCTGTTCTGATTTGTTTTCATTGTACTCAACATTTACATATTCACTCTCAGACTTGGTGAATCATTGAGTTATGGCACCTGATCAAATGTATTCCTTGCTGTTTGTGGTTACAGATCCTAATGCTTACCCATGTTCCCAGTTTTCCGGATGGTCACCCAACAGGTATCACTTTAATAGAATAATAAATGTTGTTATACTCTCCAGAGGCTTCCGCCTCCCCCTGACTCATCAGTTTCTCTTTTTTTATTTTGTTGGAGAATTTGCCGGGTGTTACACTGGGATAAGATGTCAATGCCTTCCTCTCTAAATTCACCAGCTGACTTCCTGCATTGTGTCTGCTTTGCCGTTCTTGAACTCCGGTTTGGGTTCATGAAAAGCAAACAGAGACATAACGGAGTGAAAATGGACACACAAAAAAGCTAATGTTGCCTTTTAATGTCAGGCTGATAAAGACCTTTACTGCCCCCAGCTGGAGACAGAATAATCATTTCCTCTCAAACACCAACCTGGAGAAGAGGAAAAAATATGATGAGACTTTTTACAATTCTCAGTAATTCTTGTCAACTCGTATTATTGTGTATTGCTTGAAATCACCCAGAGCTTTCACTATCAAAGACACAAGTGTCAAATGTTTCTTTCAGCAAACGTTGCACTGCCAACACAAGCATCGACAGGCTGCCTGAGAAATCAAATCATTTCCCACCGTGAAAATGTTTCTCACTCCCAAGCTGCAAAAAGTAGGACTCTGAAACATTACACAACGTCTAAAAACCTTTAGGCACTACAGTGTTGTCTCCTAGCAACCAACTAAAGGGGTTGGCATTGCAGAGGGAGGTGACATTATCCCAAACTATCCAGCGATTTCATCTACAATGGAGTTTTTGTGCAGAGCTTGGACTGGAAATTGCTTGGAATTTCTTTAATTAATGGAGTGGGTTAATTATTTTTTTCTTTTTTTGTTGGTCCCATTGAGAGAACTTGTTCTTGGAGCAACACAGTGGCATGCTGATGTAATTCCGTCAACCAAACATTTGTGTTTTTCTCATATGGGTCACAAAGCAAAACTAGGGACATGGAAATCTCTGTTTTTGATGTTTAACCTAGAGAAACAGCTGCCTTGATTGTATGCCGTATACACTGATTGTGAGCCGCAGCGAATCTGATTGTGGTATTCATGCTCCTGCTGTACTGGCGCAGTCATTTTCTCACGTCTCTTTCCTCGTGTGCAGAAATACGGGGAGATAAATGCGGAAACGACGCGAGGCGAGCTTCATGTGGAAGTCTGGTTCAACTCGCTTCCTGAGTTCCAAAAGCACACGCTACGTCCTGTCAGCCACTGTCCGATCCAGGGATCGATCCACAACCTTTGTCTTTGGGTCCAGATGAGGTTCTTTGTAGCGATGACCGCGAGTGGGTCATCCCTACATAGTAAATGGCACACTGTCAAAAATCCTTCTTTTAAAATTCGGTCTTGGTTTAGAAAGATCACCAAGGGTGCTAGGCAACATTTTTATCAGAATCCAAAACATTAAAGAGTACTTTTTTGCTTCAGTAAATTTATACTATTATCTTCGAAGGTTTACCCTGAAAAACCATTCAGTTGTCCACCATCAGCCATTCTATAGTGCCATTTAAAAGTATTGGCACCATAGGTGGAAATTTGCAAAAACCTCAAAAGAAATATGTCTTTACTCCACAATCACACATTGAAAAGTTAAATGTTTCATTTCACTGACGCGGATCCTCCCAAAGGAGGTCCAGGGATTAATGCTCCATGTCCCAGTGCTCATATAATGTCAAACTGGTTTCTTGACAAATTTTAATGAGTCCGTCGCACTCCAATGTCACCAAATCTCAATCCAATACATCATTGTCTCCATGTGGTGAAATTGGAGGTTTGTATCAACAAATATGTATGCCATGAAGTTCAGAGGGAAGTCAATCCAGTTTTAGTTTGGTGTACCTTTTGAAGTTCTTTGAGTCAACATCTATTCTGTTCTTGACATCTCAATGTTTGG